ACACTCACTTGGCCATCCACACTTCCTCTGCTGTAGAGACTCCTGGGTCTGCTGACTGGCCTGCTTGCGATTCCTCCCAAATCCTCTTCTTTTCCACCTTCATCTCCGTCATCTTCACACACTGATGGAAGAATACTCTCTTTTGTCACCTTTTTGCCCACTACCATTCTATATGCCTTGTGAGTTTGTGATTGTTTGCAAAATTAATGTTGAGAATGCTTTGATCAAACTAAATCACATTCGATTCACTCTGGTTTCCCGAGCCAGACAGGATCGATATCCTTAAAATCAAATCTATGAGAAAGCAAATCAGTGCAGTCGTGTCTCCTGTTGGCCCAGACTAACCTGCTCTGAGGGAAGGTTGTATTTGACCGACAGTCACTTTGACTAATTGCAGAGCCTGATCAGTGAGGGTGGGCTATTGTTCAGATCATTTATTTTCTTGACTAGTTGCCATGGTGTCATTTCTCCTCTCATAAAGCTGCACTCACTCTGTTTCTGCAGTGAGCGGTGAGAGAGAGAAACAATTATATAAAACAAAGAACATACATCTTTTTCCCTCACTACACAATCAGTTGCTCTCTATAAAACCTTATAAAAATCTATATTTAAAGTAATTCTAAAATTACACACACACACACACACACACACACATATATATATATATATATATATATATATATATATATATATATATATATATATATATATATATATATATATATATATATATATATATATATATATATATATATATATATATATATATATATATATATATATATATATATATATATATATATATATATATATATATATAATACACACACACACACACACACACACCAACATACATACATACATATACTTATTTTGTAATGTAATGGCAATATTACATTTATATTCATATTTAAATATTTTTTATATATATTTTAAACACACACACACACACACACATAAAATATGCATTTTGTATATTATTTCTTAAATATTTCATAATAATTACCACTTTAATTTACAGCATATTCTTTATATCATTTATTTTTAATCTAAAATGTATGAAATATAAGTATATTTAATATTTCTTTTGCAGAGTTGTAGCACATTTGACATTTAAAAAAAAAAGTAAATAAATAATAAGTAAACCATGTAGTCTCTACATTGCTTCTGTTTCTCCAAGAAAATTCAATAGGAAACCAAACTGACATTTCAGTGAAACACACCATCATCTCCTGAGACATGAAAGTGCAACCTCTGACCTCAAATTTTCCATTCACATATCCTTTCATGCATTACAAATGTCTTAAATCAACTTCACAGTGCATATATTTTTAAAATTTCCTCACTTAGAAAGAATGGCAAAGAACTTAAAGTCTTGACATACAAATGTTTTTATTATTAAGTAGATGCAAAGTTCTTGCAGTATATGCATTAAAATGGCAAATGTTTCAATGTTCGAAGTTCCACAATAGAAGATTCACAGCAGAAATTGATCGGAACAGTTTCTCTTAGCAGCAGCAAAGAACAAACACAAAAAGAGAAAAGAAAACCCCGTAAAACTTCTTCTCCGTCCAGTCACAGAGGAAGGACACAACAGTTAAACAGATACAGTGCAGGTTAAGAGAAAACAGAACGGTAACATCATGCATTCAGAATAATGCTTCAGGTTCCCCCAAACTAATTAGATATCATTACAAGCAACTCAGAGGGACAAAACCAAATCAATACCCATAATCAAAATACATTCTTAAAAAATTCTCATACATATTATATATATATATATATATATATAGTTCAGTCATGAAACTCTAGATGGCGCATTCTGACGGGGGGTTAATGTAACTGATTATATTGAGAGAGATAAACGACTTGGCACAAGCTGATTGGTTCATGCTGCATATGCAGCCAATGAGCTTACTGCCTTGCATTTATGTGACTGGCTAGCATTCACTTGAGATTCCTGCAGCGCGCTTTCAGAGTTCCCTGAAACCCTCCACCTTCCCCAGCTCCACCTGTATAGATCTGCAACGGGGTTATTTTATATGCTATTTGTGCAGCAGCAGTATGTCTTAAATACTCATGGCACCGTATCGCCATATGCATTGGCAGTAGCAAGTTCCTGTACTTGCTTGGAGCAGCAGCAATAATCTACAACTACCGCAATAACCAACAGCAGCAGCAATTCAGCAGCAGCGTAGCAGATCTGTTCCGCCAAAACCAAATACATTAACATTGTCATATCCATCACCATGCTAAAATGTTCCGAGAGTTGTCATGATTGAATTAGATATTTACTGATTTTAACATATGCATGTGTGTGATACTTTTTTCGAGTTTAAACGGTGCAAAACCCAAATGTGGGAGGGAAACATTCAGTGTTAACAGCGTACATACAACAAGAATATTCTCCTACAGAAAGACAACAGAAAGCAAAGTCCCTCAAAATCAAATTACCTCATGTAATATTTTTCATGCCGGAGGCCACTCATAACTCAAAAGTTTTCAAAGCAAATCCGAAGCGGGCTAGGATCTGACTGAACGTACATTTCAGAAAGCAAAACAGTGACTTTTCTTAAAGGATTCATTGCCAGAAAACGGTCCTTTCAAAGCCATCAAAAAGGCATTGCATGCAAAACTGAACTATGCACCGCATTGATTTTTTGTTCGTTGTTGCAAGCGGTTACCCTTTAATACAAAACAACAACTACGACGGTTGATCCTCCATCTAAAGCAGAGATCCAGGTCTCCGTTTGGAGTCAAAGAGAAGGGTCGTCACAGCCATGTCTCAGAGAAACAGGGGAAAAAGGATATAGAGGACGTATAGTAAAGCAAAGCAGGTGCATCACCTCGTTCATTTTCATAAGAGTTTCAAGGACGTTTCATAAAAGAACCAACCTAGAGAGATTTTTCAGTCTCCTGAAAATACTTTTCTTGCAGTTAGCTCGAGATAAATGTGGTTTCATCTCAGTTTGATCAATCTTAAAGCCAATGTATGTAGTTTTGTGTATTTTTGTAGTATTTTTTACTTTAACTGTGACTTTATCTCAGTTCTGAGTTTATATCTCACAAGTTTAAAATTTGCAATTGTGAGATATAATAATACTCGCAACACTGAGGAAAAAAAGTGTGTGAAATAATTATGAAATAAAAAGTCGCAATTATCTTTTTTTGTGAAAAAAAAAAACTAAATGGAATTGCACAAGGTAAACAGAAATCGGAGAAAAAAGGGCAGAATTATGAATTATAAACTCAATAAACTCATGTAAACTCGGAATTCTGAGATAAAATGTACAATTGCGATATATAATCTCAGAATTAACGTCAGAATTGCGAGAGGTTAACGCAGAGTTCTGAGAAAAAAAATGATGAGATATAAACTAAGAATTGTGATGTAAACCTGGAATTGTGAAAAAAAAAAAAATCTGAATTCTAAGTGCATATCTCATTTGTGTTTTCTTTCCAAAAATGCAAGAAGCAAAGTTTTAATTATGAGATTACAACATTGCAATGACCTTTTTATGTATTGAGGGTTTTTTTATTTATGAAATGGGTTTTCAATACAGAACAGACGTGTGCCTTATTAGAATTCAAAAGTCATTTGCCTTATTATAAGTTCATCAGAATGATTTTGAAACTGATATTTCAAGGTAAACAACTTGCATACAGTTGCTTTAAAATCCAAGCAGTCTTCTTTAAAGGGGTCATATGACGTTGCTATAAAGAACATTATTTTGTGTATTTGGTGTAATGAAATGTGTTTATGCGGTTTAAGGTTCAAAAAACACATTATTTTCCACATACCGTACATTATTGTTTCTCCTCTATGCCCCGCCTTTCTGAAACGCGTCGATTCTTACAAAGCTCATCGGTCTGAAAAGCGAGGTGTGCTGTGATTGGCCAGCTATCCAGTGCGTTTTGATTGGCCGAATACCTCAAGCGTGTGACGGATATGTTACGACCCTTACCATACTTGGCGGCAGCGGCAACAATACTACAGCGAGAATCAAAGTTACACCTTCTTTCTTTGCGTGAACATTTGGGCGGTGTTATGCAAATCTTCCCACACAGTGATGTAGACATGTGGGGGCGTGTTAGAACGGGGCGTTTTAGGAGGGCGTGGACGAGTCTTAACTTTTATAAAGAATATCTCTTTGGGTTTGAAACTTTAGTGTTTGCAACTTCAGGGATCTTATCTATTCACAAACAGCTTGTAACACTACAAAGATAAAGGAAAACTTGAAATCGCATCATATGACCCCTTTAAAACCACAGTCATGTTTTATTCACTGAATTCATTTCAAAATTAAGATGTTTTTAAATGGTTTATCAGAAAAAAATAATAACAAAAAGAACCAGTCTATTTTTTCCTTAAATTCCATTCAAATTCATTCTATATTAAGGGCTAGTTGTTAACAAAACAGTTATATAATAGCCTCAGGGGATATTTAACCATGTTACAACTCTTGAGCATGTTCAGATGCATGGAAACCAGTGTGGCGTCAATTAGCAGTGTGTGTTTCATTTAGAAGCGATAATAAACAGAGCGAGGTTTTGTACAGGTCTAACTCGTCTTCCATCTAGACATGCTGACATAAGTCAATTCATTCTCAATCATCCACTAATCCTTTTCTCATGTAAAAAGGTCTCGGTTACGTATGGTAACCCTCGTTCCCTGAAGGAGGGAACGGAGACGTCACGTCGGATGACCGACGAATTGGGATCTCGCTTAGAGAGACCAATCTACTTCGAGTGTAAACATGCAATAATCGCATAATTATTTAAAAATAATAAAATAAACAACTGACATGTCTAGTGTTTTTAAGTTTGTTCGTTTCTGGCATCTTGTTTCTATTTTTAACATAATTTTATATTCACTAATAATAATAATAATAATAAAAATAATTATTATTTATTTTTATTATTATTATTATTATATTGAATATTAAATAATATATTATAATGAAGACAAAAAAGAAGAAAATGAAGAGAAAGAAGGCAAATTAATGATATAATTAATAAAATGGTTGGTTGTGACTCTTTCAAAACCAAAATTAATCAAAATGGACCAAAATGAGATCTGAACCCACTTTTTAAGGCCAGCGTGAATTGTTCTGCTTAAAAAGGTCTATGTTTGGTTCTTTTAAACAGATTCACTTTCTGTAGATACGAGCATGTCCTCTCTTTTTAGCATGGATAGAGACTTGGTCTTTAATCAAACGTGCACAATAACCTCGAGACTCACTATCCAAACCAAAAACGTCCCATCTCTTGATAGTAAAGTCAATATCTATGCATGTTGCACATGAGGAAAGCCGCTGATCTTGCTTACACTTAAAAAAAGGCAGGCCATGTCTAAGTGCACGCAGCCCATTAGTCAGGACAAAGCATAAAGACACATAAAAAAGTGCATTCAGAAATTCAAGTGAACTGTAATTGTATTAATGCAGATTTTGATCACAGAGATGCACATCAAACAAGACCTAGCAAAGAAAATGAAATATTCCATAAAAAAAGAGAAGAACAATTTTTTAACAGACAAACTTGGCACAGTTTTCGTGAATCATGGTTGGTGTCCCATCATGCTTCTGGTTGGCTGATTAGAGCATGAGCAAAAACCAGCGATATATGGACGGAAAATGTGACTATGAGCAAAACACCCTGTAAAAGGAAGAAAATAAAGATTAAAAGAGATACAAAGTGAGAAAGGGGGTAGAAAGAGTATACATACAGTATATATATTAATTGCAGTAATAATAATAAAATTACATACAATTACGAAATGCTGAAATTATTTAAATATTTGCATAAGCATCTATTCCACAACTTATATATGTTCATAATTCGTTATATTTATTTATTAAGTTGATGCACTTAATTTTTTTTCAAGATTTAGAATATTGTTAAAAAGTTTGGGTTTAGTAATATTTTGATCGAAGAAAGAAATGCATACTTTTATTCAGCTAGGATGCACTTAACTGATCAAAGTGACAGACTTTTGCTTTATAATTCATGAGAAGCAAATCAGAATATTAGAATGATTTCTGAAGGATCATGTGACACTGAAGACTGGAGTAATGATACTGAAAATTCAGCTTTACATTACAGGAATATATTACATTTTAAAATATTATTCAAATGGAAAACAGTTATTTTAAATCATAAATATATGTTTTATTTCTGCTATATTTTTAATCAAATAAATGCAGCCTTGGTGAGCATAAGAGACTTCTTTCAAAAACACTTTTTTAAAAACATTACCAACCCCAAACTTTTGAACAGTAGTGTATTTTTCCTATTTCATGCCATTTTTCATTTTACATAAGTAAACGTGGGCTGTAATTGCGATTAATTTGATTAATTAATCTGCACATCATGTAACTAATTCCATTAAAAACAGTAAGCGATTGACAGCTCAAAAATAAACACCTTTCCTGCTTAATGTACGTAATTAAGTTCACATTTCTTTGTAACGTTATGCATTAATCGCAACATTTCATGCCGATATTTAATTATTTCATGATATAACACTGAAGACTGGAGTAATGATACTGAAAATTCAGCTTTACATTACAGGAATATATTACATTTTAAAATATTATTCAAATGGAAAACAGTTATTTTAAATCATAAATATATGTTTTATTTCTGCTATATTTTTAATCAAATAAATGCAGCCTTGGTGAGCATAAGAGACTTCTTTCAAAAACACTTTTTTAAAAACATTACCAACCCCAAACTTTTGAACAGTAGTGTATTTTTCCTATTTCATGCCATTTTTCATTTTACATAAGTAAACGTGGGCTGTAATTGCGATTAATTTGATTAATTAATCTGCACATCATGTAACTAATTCCATTAAAAACAGTAAGCGATTGACAGCTCAAAAATAAACACCTTTCCTGCTTAATGTACGTAATTAAGTTCACATTTCTTTGTAACGTTATGCATTAATCGCAACATTTCATGCCGATATTTAATTATTTCATGATATATAATGTTGCCCACTATCCAACAGAGTACAAGATGACAAATGCCGATGGACCGTGAGGTAGCTCTCGTCCTCCAACACAAGGACTTTCATCATAAAACATCAAAATAAGTGACACCTCTCAGGAACTACGGTGGCCATCCGGCAAAAGGGCCAGTTAAGCATGCACTACGGTTAAAGCACTTCTGTCCCTCCCTCCGCTCTCACAGCGAGTGTGCGATGAACAAGCTCTTATCTGTGAGAGCACAAACAGAGAATAGCACAGCCACTCTCTTCTCACTAATCCTGTTACGCTGCAGCCTCTTCTCAGCCTCCGTCTCTATGGTTACGGCTGGCATTCAGTGATGCTGGTCCAGAGGCTGTATCTACAGTAATCTACACGGCACAAGGTCCTCCTACAAGCGTGGATAACCCAAGGCAACTCAAGGTGAGAGGAGTACGGATGGAGAATAAGCAAACAGGACTTACTCATCCGTGTCTTTCTTGCTCTCTTCGATGTATGCAATAGACTCCGACCTTAGACGGTTGGTGACCTCGTAAGTGCGCAGGGTTACACCGAAGATGTCCTCATGGTATCGATTCTCATCCTTCAACGAGAAAGAGGAGAAAACCATTTGAAAAAGTAACTGGAACTTCTCAGTTGACCTTGTACTTGATTTTGTTATGCACACAAAGGATCAGTTTTAAATAAATGACCTAATGGAGTCACTAAATACAGTATAAAGTTTGGAAAAAAAGAGGGATGGAACCCTTCGTTTTTCTGATAAATTGTCATTTAATCAAAAATGTAAAAAATAAAATGTAAAAATACAATTTAATTTCTTTAAAAAATTATGTATAAAACCAAACTATAAAATTTAAATAAAGAAAGAAACAAAACAAAACTAGAACTTCTCAGTTTTAAATAAATTACTGAAAAGCAACACTAACTACAGTATGAAGTTTGGGAAAAAGTGGGATCAAACCTTTAGTTTTGCTGATAAATTCTTAATTAATCATAAAATTATAAATGTAACGTAAAATTTAATGTAATTTAATGTAAAATACCATTTCATTAATATATATATATATATATATATATATATATGTAATTATGGCGCTAGGTTAATATATATAAAATAAGAACAATATTTAGCATAATAATAATAATAATAATAAAGAATAATAATTACAAATAATTAATGAGTAAATAAAAAAAGAAAAAGTAAGTGGAACCTGGAACTTCTCAGATGGCCTTGCACTTGATTTACCTTTGCATATGAAGAGACAGTTTTAAATAAACGGCCAAAAAGCATTAACTACAGTATGAAGTTTGGAAAAAAGTGGGATCTAACCCTTAGTTTGCTGATATAGAAGCCGGCATCTTCCAGAGACATGTTTCCATGCAGTTTAAAGATCTGCTGGACTGTTTTCAGTACGTCTCCGGCCATGGTGACGTCTCCACAGACATAGATATGTCCTCCTCCTTCTCGCAGATATTTGTACACTGTTTCAGACAGCTGCTCGCGAAGCACATCCTGGACGTATTTCTGAGAGGACGAGTTGAAAAAAAAGAAAAAATTGTTAGGTAAAAGTCTAAATAGATGTCTGTGAGCCACATGGCATGGTTCCACTGTTATTTGATCAGTCAGAAATGCTTTGCCTTGCTTGCTGAATTTAAAAAACAAAAGTGAAAATCAAAGACTTTTCATTTTCCCATTAATCTCTGTGATTCACTTGAGCAGCTAGCTAAACCCTCACTAATGCTGGATTATAAATGGATTTGAAATATCCTCACTAATATTTGCTAAGGCATCATATTCTAACCTTTGGTCTCCCAGGCTCTCTGGAGTATGCGGTGTAAAGCTCTTTAAACACTTCCTTGTTCTTGGCCTGGATGGTCTCTTCCTTGTAAATGTGGTCAATCTGTGACTGCCGACAACCGAAAACCAAGATAATGGGGCATGCCTTAATTCCTGATTAAATAAAACATGCCAAAATTAAGATTAAACTCAATGACAAATGCCAAAATATATTAGTGAAAGTGTAAGTACATGTAATTTTTTTAATTATATACAAATTATTATTATTGTAAAAAATAGTATTATATA